GATGGTTTTTTTTCAACTTTTGCATGAGCTGTGCTACTCCCCCTATTGGCTTTCGAAAGCCAATAGGAATTGCTGCTCGGCGCGCCAAAACACCCATCCGGCAAACTTTGCACATGTAAGTTGTCTGCAGCGAAGGCAAATTGGCAGGAACTTTGCACCCCTCCCTGCTAGCCAACTAATCTCTTGGTTAGTCCTGAAGATACCTGGAGGAGACAGGAGTGGTGATGCCATAGTAACTTTCTCTTGATCTTCGGCCCTGCTAGGACAATAATGGCTGCAGGCACAAGAAGCAGGGACGGCGGGGCTACTGCAGGCGGGGGTGTGAGGGGTGACGGTGGCTGGCTGCCCCCCGTGCTGTGGGAGCCGCGGGGCCTGCTCTACACGAGGCTGCACAGGGTGGGCGGTGGTGCTGGCGGGGCGGCTGCAGGCAGGGTGTGTTGACAGCGGGCTGCCCCCGGGGCCGGAGCCTACACAGCTGGTGCTTTGGGAGCCACGGCTCCCGCTCTACATGGCGGGGCAGCAGTGCTGGTGGGGCAGTTGTGGGCGGGGGCGCGGCATGTAAGAATAATTACAATATAAAATGTTATTGTTACAAATGTTTTTATTATGCATTTATCATATTATAGTGTATTCTGTATTACTGTTGCAATGAATAAAATGTTTCTTTTATTTACGATATTTTTTTCTTCAATTTATTTGTGTCCTCCTTTTCATTCATCTTAATGTTATGGAAGATGAACAAGTTCTCCCTGATAAGTTAGAGACTGATTTAAAAGTGGGTACAAGAATGATATGGAAAAGGTGTTATACTGAACAAAGAACTCAGCTGATATAATAATTAAAAGGTATATACAAATAGCAACCCAAGAAAATGTCTTGGATAATGTTCCTATATTGGATTTACAAAGACTCTTGTTAAAGTTTTTGAAGAATTTTGTGAGATGGGGCAAAGAATAAGTAATAAGTTCCATAACATTAAGATCAAGATTGTTAGAAGTAAAAGGAAGTAATATAAAGTTGGTGGTTTTGATCAAGGTTAAAATAAATATGTTATCTCTAATAACTCTTAATGGACTTTTGCTGAAATCAGGAGTAAATCAGAAGTTTTATGGAATTGTTTATAGATAAGATAAGAAATGGGATATGGAAAGAAGAGATCTATTTGTTATACTTTAATAAAAGATAATAAGTTACTGAAATTGTTTATACTTGTGATGGAGAAGTAACATCTTTATAGATTTCTTTTTCTTCACTATATTCATATTTTTTTCTTTTCTATTACGTATTCTCTTTCTTTTCTGCATCCTTTCCTTTTTAGTTTATATTAGTTTTTATTGTTGTAATTGTAATCTTTAATAAAATTACTATCAGAAATAAATTTAAAAATATAAACTTAATCACAGTATACTCAATTAGCCCAATTTCTGTGTTTACATAGCTTATTGGACTATAAACAAATAGCATGGACTGAGTTCATAGACTAAAATGTGGCTGATTAATTTGTGGCTCAATGTGTCTGAACTATGATTTATTAACTATTAGTTTGCCAATCTGATAATATACTGAATGATAAACTACACTGGCTGAGGTCAGACAGTATTGGATCCAAACTAGCAATAATGTTTTAACTGGTTATATAAACCCAGCTTCTCTGTCCCAAGCATGTGTTTTATTACTGAGGGTTAAGATCCACAATTTTCACATAGCCTTGGAAACAACAAAAGGCACTGAATTATTAGTTTTAATATATTGTGAAGTGTTTTTGAATAAATGCGTTGAATGCTTTGTGCAGTTTTTAGATCTACAAGGTCTGGTCCACAGGAATCCAAGCATCACTAGAATAGTAGCCAATAAGACATTTATATTAATATAGGTCAGAACTGTTAGTGCAAGGAGTATCTGTGGAGATTTTCTTAATCATCCAGTTCCTGGTTGTCCCAAAGATGCTTATCAAAGGCAATTGGACTTCCTTGGTTTTTTTCCTTGAAAAGTTTCACTTCTTATCTAAGACGCTTCTTCAGTTGTAGCTGAATGGTGAGGAATGGAAGGATTTATATTCCTTCTAAGGATGCTAAGGATGACTGCTAAGGAATGTAAATCCTTCCATTCCCCACCATTCAGCCAGAACTGAAGCAGCTTCTTGGATGAGAAGTGAAATGTTTTCAAGGAAAAAAACCAAGAAAATCCAGTTGCCTTTAATAAGCACCTTTGCGTTACTGCAAGGAGTTTTAATAATGGCCACAAAGCATTTTGGAATCAGAAAAAAGATCTGTTAAACACAGGCACACTATGGGAACACTTGCCTGTCCTCCTTTTGATTGTCCTTTTCAGGTAAAGGGAACCTTGAAAAACATATATACTATCATTACAGTATCTGTATATCCGGCCTTAAATACTGTGGAATTACTCCTCTCACTTCCTTAGAAATCATACCTTTAACTGTAAGAACTCAAGATATTCTGTTGCAATTTGGACCTTGTAATAACATCAGAACAATTGGATGAAAAGCACTAGCCTTTGTCATGCTTTCAAGAACAATCATTTAACATAATGACCAGAATCTATATAGCTTCTTTTGCAAATCTGTCCACTGCATTTATTTCAGTCTGCAAAAGGTTACACTTATATCTGAAAGTAAACAAAATTGGTTTTTTTTTGTGATAAGGGGACTTATAAGTGGTTATTTTCGCTTGTTGCTATACAGCTTTGCTTCTTTTAAAACCCAGGTATTCAGCTAAGCTTCATTAATGTGGACATGTGATAAATGATAGTAATTATCTTTCTCCTTCAACAATCTGCCTCTTTTCTGTTGCACAGCTACGAATTATTTCTCCCTTTGAACTTTGCTGTAGTTAGAATTAGCAGTCATTCTGATTTCTGCTCTGCTAACACAAGATAAGAGACACTGGGTTTTTAACAAGAGCCCTTTTAAATTAAGTAGCTTTTTGGACTAAGCACCTTTGTTTATCTCGTTTCACATGTAGTAATAGGTCTTGGCTTTCTCATTTAAATTGTGTTAAGCAAAACCTAAAGATGGAATAACTAGTTTGTTTTTCTTTTTTAACTAGTAATTGCTTTTCTCCTGGGCTTACTATTATTCTAGGAATACAGTTTTTTACAGAACCCCAAAGGAAGGAGATTGCCTACGTTAACCTTTTTCCCCACCACCACCATCTCCCCTGCCATGTGCTATGATCTCAACCCTGCTACTGACTCCAGTGTTAAGAGTGAAAAATATCTATTTTGAGCCTACACTATGAGAAGTGAGCAATTATTGGTATAGTATCTCAGCGGTTCTGAGATGAATACTGGAAAGTGTAAGTATCTTTCCAAAAGTTTATCATCGTCTCCATCTTAAGGTGAACTGTAAAGGTTCAGAGATGTGAACGTTGTGAGGGCCCTTCCTTGATGTACAATTACGGGCATTTCTGCAGTGTAGCATTTGCACCAGTTTTTCTACTTCCCAGTTCCTAAAGAACACTGCAGGGCTTACTTACAATAATTGTCAAAATAATGAAAACAATGGTAAATGAGAGAAAAGACCTGGGTGTGGTGAATGTTCCCAACACTGAGGGAATAGACCTCCGAGAAGCTCATTAGAAATGCCGTGCACTTCAAGAAGAGAAATGTAGCTGGCTGGAATTTCATATACAATGCAGGAAGGTGATCAATAAATCAGATTTTGGACACAATATTTGCAAGAACAGATCAAGAGCTAACTCAGTCTGCTGCAAAGATACAGGTATGTATGTAAAAGGTATGTGGTGGTACCTTTTATACAGGCATGGCCCAAAGTTAACTTTAAATGTAAGGAAACATCAGGCAGAAAGATGTTGGATCGCCTCATCTTAGCTGGTGTATAACCTTTCTGAAAGCAGCAAGACACCCATTTCATTTTATTTTTAACGGAATTGGCTTTGCAGAATTCCTGATAGCCTTTCTTATGTCGCTGGTAATTTATGTCTAACTGACAAATTATTGGCTTGTCCTCATACCAAACACAGTGCTGCTCCCACTCTTTATGCAGTAGCTTTATTATTATTATTTTTTTAAAAAGAAACACTCTCATTGTTATATTCTACTTATAGTTATGATATCCACATTCAGTATTTCTATAGATATGTATAATCCTATGACCTGATGTCCTTATATTCTGAGTAGTCCTCAGATTGGTGCCTTCTACTTGATGGAAGCTATAGTCTAACATATCAGGAGGATACCCGGTTAGGGAAAAGTAAAAGAAATCTCAAGCAATTAGAGAGGCTTAGTCCAAGATAATGGTACTTTTGAGTGAGGAGATAGAAATAACAGAGTGTTCTGACTGAGTGACAAGAGGACAGTAGGCACCATTAGATCTGTGGGACAATTGGAAGATCTCCTGTTGCTGAATGACTAGGCAGGGGTAGGCAACCTTGGCTCTTTTATGACTCGTGGACTTCAACTCCCAGAATTCCTGAGCCAGCCATGCTGGCTCAGGAATTCTGGGAGTTGAAGTCCACGAGTCATAAAAGAGCCAAGGTTGCCTACCCCTGGACTAGGAGATCCTAGCAGATAGCAATAATACACTACTCTATTGGTCATGTTAGTGCTGATGGCTACCATAATTCTTCCAAAAGGCTACTGAGGTTTCTTGCTGCCTACCTCTTCCTCTGAACAACAGCTTGAATCAAGCCTCTTGCTCTTCTCCATGTCACCTTAGCAGATATTCCCTAGCATATTCATAGTTTGCCATTATTGATAAAGAGATGTTAAACCATTATTGTAAGCAATAGTATCTGTTATTAGGGAGACCCTATGATAAGTATTCCTTTTGAGAACAGCCATATGGGAAATGTAATACATGGCTTTGCTCTAGAAGACAGAGAAAGAGAAAGAATATTCTTAATTATGTTGTGGATCATCTGCCAACTATGTTTAAAAAGATAAATCAAGTGCCTAACTAAATAGCATCCTTGAAGATCATGATTATGTTTACCGACAATAAAAACATTAAACTCTCATGTTTTTCTTACCATGAAAATGGCAGTCCATGTGAAAAGTAACTCCTTTATCGTGTACATGAAACAGCTTTGCAATATTGTTTTACAATATATGTTCATCTGTCTGACAACAAAAGGTGCTGTGAGCCAACAGGAGTATCCTTTTTTTTTTTTTTTTTTTTGCATATTCAGCCTCATTCTAGTGTTTGTTTGCTTTGCCGCAGACTTGGAATGTTGCTCAAGACAGAAGAAAAGCAACCATCATGAAATACATTTTTCCATTTGCAGTTTGTTGAAATGTAGCAATGTGCCTGATCAGCATCAGAAAGTAACATTCAGAAGGGAAGAAAACACATTGGCTTGCTGCACCCCAAGACAAATTCTATTTGTGGTGGAAAGGGGAGAGTCCGTTCATCATACCGTTCATCATCCAGAAGAGTAGCCAGGAAAATCCTGGCCATCAGCCAAGAGAATCATACAACATTTAGTCCATGTGTGCTTCAGATGTGTGCTCCTAATGGAACAACCTGGAGCGTGGGCAGAGGTCCTATTGGAGGCGCGATATACTCTTCTTCTCTCAGCAACCGCAACAGAATGTTCTTTTTATTCCGAGGCCAATGGTAGATGTGAGTATTCTGAAGCCAGATAGGTACATGTTCCTGTGGAGACAGAAAGGTCAAAAAGAGAGGGAAGAGTATGGGTAGGAAAGAAGACAGAAAGAAGCAATATATAATCCCGCCTAATTCTTTATAGCAGCCTTTGAGACATACTCACCATTAGAGTTACAGACTGCACATTTGAAATGAATTCCCCAGCCTTCCTCATATGTCTTTGCCAACAAACTAAGCAATTAGTTAAGCTTTGGATTTCTTTTCTGAACAATTTCAATAACTCCTTGTGAAATCACCTGTATGAAGCATTTTTCCAGCATGTTTATTGTTTTTTACATCATTCAGTTATAATGTCCTATAAATACATCTGCATTCCACAGTTATAATGTTGAGGTACAATAGAGTTATGTAGCACCCTTATAACTCTGATAGCAAAGCTTCAGGAGGATCTTGATTAACTTATTTTAGATTATGGTAGCAAGTTTTCCCATGCTGATTAAGGAAAATTTAGAGATAGTGGTTCCTACATTTCCTTGTATATGATATTACAAGGGGAGCAGGAGGGCTTATTTTGTCATTTTTCTAATGTCGATCTAATGTTTGTACAGTTTCATACATACAGTAGCCTGTTTGAATATGATTATGAGTAGGATCACACCTCGTGCTAAGTTATAACCAAACGAGGATTCATGTTGTAAAAAAAGGAGAAGTCACAAAGGAAGAATACAGCATCTGGAATTGTAGAGATGTCAGGAAAATTAACATTTGGAATGAATTGAAGGTGGCAAAGAATCTTAAGACACCCCCCCCCCAAGCTTCTAAAAATGTTTAAAATAAAAGAGAAAATAATCAGTATATCAGCTTCTCAGGAAGGTAACAAAATGTTAGCAGGTAACAAAGAAAAGGCAAAACTAGTCAACTCCCATTTTGGCCATTTTATTTAAGCAGTATGTAGGTATGTGTTTCACTAAGCAGTTGTGAAGAGCAGAATCAAGGAGCAGGATTGAAGTGTTTGACCAATAAAATACAACTTTTCTATATTTTGAATCAATTCAAATTTCCAGGGTCACATGAATGTCAACCTAGGGCACTGAAAGATGCTCTAGGCCAGTGGTTCTCAACCTGTGGGTCGGGACCCCATTTGGGGTCGAACGACCATTTCATGGGGGTCGCCAAACAACGCAGTCCGCCATTTTTTTCTCCTTTTCCTTAGCTGTGCTACTCCCTTTTATTCTATTGGCTTTTGAAAGCCAATAGAATAGACTCTCTGAATAGAGTCTAATTCTATTGGCTTTCAAAAGCCAATAGGAATTGTCCAGGCTGTCTCTGCCCTGCTGAGCCCGCCAAGAGTCCCATTCTGCAAACGGTGCTGCACCAGTTGAGTAGTCCTCGACTTACGACTGGTTGAGTAGTCCTCGACTTACAACCGGTTGGGGGTCGCGGCATTTAAAAGGTTGAGAACCACTGCTCTAGGCCCTTTATGAAATCTTGAGAAATTTGAGATAATAAATCAAGTGTCAAATGAAATTAGAATGAAAAATGTTGGAAAATAGTGCTGAAATTAAAGAAGTCAACATGGATTTGTCAACTAAGATACAACACTAAAAGTATAGCTTCCAAATCACTGGAACTGTTTACTTCATTAAGCATTGGTCAGACCCACCAGTTATGGGCATCATACTTTAAGAAGAATCCAGATTAACTAGAAGGGATTCAGAAAAGACCAATGAGGTAACCCAGGAAACTACAAATGCAATTTGAACAAGAGACATTAACAAGTCTTCAAGAAGATTAAAGTGGTGGGAGGATAAGATAGAACTTGAAGTACCACTTGAAATATCCAAATATCACAAAGAAGAAGGCCAAGATCCATTCATTACTATCACAAGACAGCAGGACAAGTAATAATTTAAATTATTATAAGAATGCAAGAGTAGTTCAATAGAAGAATACCATAGGGTTGGTGGTCTCTGCGTCATTGGATGTGATAGATAGACACGTGTCACTAATGCTTTAATTTGGATTATTTCCAGTTTTGTAGTTCTACAAAATGATATGCTGGCCTACACAGTATGAGAATCTAGTTGTTGTGTCAGAATCTTTGCATATTCTGCAGAAGAGATTTTGGGTAAGGATTGAGAGGAGACGTATACATATAAAATAACTTATATCCATTAGAAATCACAGAAATTATAAACCTAAGTTTAATTCATTCTCTATCACATAAAATAATAAGACAAAACAAAATTTATTTTAGCCAAATGGTGTTCTTCAAGATGAACAAGAAAGATTTAAGCAGGTAAAAATGAATGGACAATTGAAGCAATGTAGTTATTGTTGGGTTATGCCTGTCCCACTTTATTTCTAGATAAAACAGAAAATTAAGGTACTAAGAAAAATAAAATCCTTTTTATTTTGGAAAATTGGTGCTAACTCTTAGACACTTCAAAATAAAAAAATGCTTTGTCCATTAATACGTTTGATATAAATTATATTTCTGTCTTAAGAATATTGTGAAACATTTCTCTAAATCCAAAAAGTGGTTTACTTAACATTCCCAAATATTTTTTTTAAATGTTATATATCTAATTTAAATTTTCAACAAACACCAAAATGGAATTATTCTGCCATTGTCATATTACCTTTTTTGCATTGGGAAAGAGGACAGGAATGAATCTAAAGTTCATGCTTCCTTGCTGTATAAATTCAATTTGCATCTGAAAAAAACACAAAAGAATGAAAATTTGTCAATATTAATTTCAGATGTATGTATTCTGATTTCTAATACGGTATTTTATGTACAATGGCCTTCAGCTATAAACAGATCCGTGTCCCTACAGTAGCACACTGGCATAGTCAGATAGATTTATGTATGTTTTTCTTGGATTATGAACTGCACAGACATCACAATGATGAAAGTAGATTGTGATCCAGTGTTAGACACAACATGTAAGTGCCCTGGTCTGAGCAACACTATTTTCCATTCTAGACTTTTGGAAGTAGGGGAGCCTGGATGTACCAATAAAACAGAATATTTGTAGCTCAAAGTTGAAAGGAAGTATCCTTGGTGTTCTCTGAGCTTGATTGTTTTCTTGCAGACATTTCCTTAACCAAACTAGGTAATACCATCAGTGCAAGAAAACAACCAAGCTCAGAGAGCACCAAGGAGCCCAAGTGTTAATTACCCCTTATCACTGAGCAACAGATAAGCATGTACAAGATACACAGGCTGTTCTGTGAGGCCTGTTGCTGTGTATTTTTGTTGGAAGGCCCTTATCTTGTTTTTATACACCTGTTGAATGTTACTGTAGATTATGTAACAAAGATGCGTTTGTGCTTTCAAAAGAAATAAAATATGTACACTTTATATGTTTTACCATGATTTTTTCATGTTACAGATGCAGAGTTGTATTTCATTTCTGGAAGCTTTTCAACTATATCACAGGGTTTATCCACTTAGGCCTAAATTTCTTTAAGTATGAGACTAGTACTGAAAATATCAGTTGGGGTTTAATTTGCATATTGTAATAATCTTGAGTTAGAGATTGGGAGCAGATAGACATTGGAACAGCCAGACAACTCCAGCTTTATCTCTGGCTGTCATATGCCAGCCATAACTTAGTACCAGTCTGATTTAGAATAGAATAGAGCTGGAAGGGACCTTGGAGGTCTTCAATGGTAGTCCAACCCCCTGCTCAAGCAGGAGAACCTATACCAGGGGTAGGCAACCTAAAACACTCAAAGAGCCACTTGGACCCGTTTCCCACCAAAACAAAACACTGGGAGCCGCAAAACCCTTTTGATATCTAAAATGAAGATAACACTGCATATATCCTTTTTTACCTTATTATAGGTGGTGTGGTGTGTGGGGGTGTGTGTGTGTGTGTGTATAATACATACACCACCACACACACACACACACACACACATTAAAAATAAAAGTAAAAATATGACTCTTGGGAATATCCATACTATTAAAACAATGATCACCAAGAGAATGCTTTAAGAGAATAAAATACATACACACAAAGGTAAAAAAAGGATATATGCAGTTTATCTTCATTTTAGATGTCAAAAGGGTCTCTCTCTCCCTCCCTCTCTATCTGCCCTTGGTCTGCCACTCCTCTTCCCCCACTCTCTCTCTCTCCCTCTCTCTCTCTTTCTCTCTCTCTCTTTCTCCCCCCCCCTCCTATCTGCTGCTCACCTGGCAAGCTTCAAGCTGTTGTCCAACAACCTCCGGGGTAGGCAACCTCGTCTCTTTTATGACTCATGGACTTCAACTCCCAGAATTCCTGAGTCAGCCTAGCTGGGCTAGCTAGCTCTCTCCCGCCCTTCCTGCTTCCTTTAGAGACACAGCAAAGGGAGGAGCTCCGCCCAGAAAGCTTTTCAGCTCCTCGGAGAACACTGTGAGTGCACTCTCTTTTACACACACCCAGACACACACACACCCAGACACACACACACACACAGAGAAGCAGGGAAGTGCAATTGCCTCTCTCTGTCTCTCTCTGCAAAGGCAGAGGAGGCTGGGAGCCACAGGGGAAGGCTCAAAGAGCCGCATGCGGCTCCGGAGCCGCAGGTTGCCGACCTGTGACCCATACCATCCCAGACAAGAGACTGTCTAGCCTCTTCTTAAAAATCTCCAGTGATGCAGCGCCCATGATTTCTGGAGGCAAGCTGTTTCACTGGTTAATTGTACTCACTGTCAGGAAGTTTCTCCTTAATTCCAGGCTGCTTCTCTCTTTGATCAGTTTCCAACCATTGTTTCTTGTCCTACCCTCTGGTGCTTTGGTGAATAACATGACCCTCTCTTCTTGGTGGCAGCCCCTCAAATACTGGAATACTGCTATTGTGTCTCCCCTATTTCTTCTTTTCTTTAGACTAGCCAAATGCAAGTCCTGCAACTGTTCTTCAGACCTTTGATCATCTTAGCTGCTCTTCTCTGAATTTTTTCCAAACTCAACATCTTTTTTGTGATATGGTGATCAAAATTGGCTGCAGTATTCCAGGTGTGATCTTACCAGGGTTTTATAAAGCAGTACTAATACTTTGTGTGATCTTGATTCTATGCCTGTTTATACAACCCAGGATTGTATTAGCTTTTTTGGTTGCTGCTGCACATTGCTGGCTCATAGTCAATTGATTGTCCACTAGGATCCAAGGTCTCTCTCACAGTTGCTGTTTTTAAGCCAGGTCTCACCCAATCTGTACTTGTACCTTTGATTTTTTTCTGCCTAAATGTAAAACTTGGCTTTTCTCCACACTGAAACTCATGTTGTTGGATAGGGCCCATTGTTCAAGTTTGTCAAGATCTTTTTGGATCCTGAGTTTGTCTTCTGGGGTGTTAGCTACTCCTGCCAGTTTGGTGTCATCTGCAAATTCCCTCATCTAAGTCATTTATGAAGATATTGAAAAATACTGGGCCTAAGACAGAACCTTGTGGTACCCAATGCTTACTTCTCCCCATGTGGATGTAGTGCCATTGAGGACTACTCGTTAAGTACGGGTTGCCAGTCAGCTACAGATCCGTCTGGTGGTGATGTTGTCTATTCCAGAGGTCTCCAAACTTTTTGATTTGGTGGCCCAGAAAGGGAGGCAGACATCACTACGTGCGTACGCCGCACACGTGCATGTGCAAAAATGAGCCTCATGCACGTGCACACAAATGGGCTGCATATGAGCGCATACACACATACAAACAGCTGCACATGAGCACATGCACACATGCAAACGGGGCAAGTGCTGCAAATGGGGCGGTGCTAGTGCTGGCGGAACACTATAGGCAGCACTAGTGCCAGTGGGACGCTCAGGGGCAGGGATGTAATCTATCATGTCCCAGTGATTTATATTCATCAAGGTCGGATAGGTGTTCTCTTACCATTTTCTTGCTTATTTTAATTTTTGTTTCTAGTTTGTCTTTTGCAGTGGTTTTTTTGGTATGTTGGGCTATAGTTTCTTTTTGTGTGAAGACTGATGCAAAGTATCAGTTAAGCAACTCTGCTTTCTCCCTGTTGCCTCTTATTTCCTTGTCATCTTCTCTCTTTAGTGGACCTACAGTTTCCTTGACTTTTTTCTTGTTGTTAATATGTTGGAAGAAACCTTTTTTTATTATCCTTGATTTCTGTTGCAAGTCTTTGTTCATTCTGAGCCTTTGCTTTCCTGACTTCATCTTTGCGTGTTCTGGTTGTCTGCTGATAATCGGCCTTAGTTATGTGCCCCTCTTTCCATTTTTTTTAAATAAAAATTTTTATTTTCCAATTATCCAACATAATTATACAACAAAATTCACTTTATAAAATAAAATAAATTCATAATCATAACCATAACCATAGGTGCCGCTTGCTCATTCCCCCCAAGCTGCATCCACCCTCCCTAATACCTTCCCTACTTCCCTCCTCTTTCTCTCCTCCCCTCACTACTCTCTTCCCCTCCCCTTCTCCTCTTACCATCCTACTTCCTCCCTTCACCTTCCTCCCCTCTCATCCCTCTCAAATACAGGAATGTAGTGTAGGGGAAATGCCCAAGCATCACCTCTCTCATAAATTACCATATCTATATTATCCTATTCTACCTATTTACCCACCCACTCACCCACTCACCCACCCACCCTCAACCCCCCTCCCTCACTTCCCAGAGCAGAGTACAGGGTTATTAATAACAAAATTAACAATATACAATAAAAAAAAAGAAAAAAGAAAAGAAAAAAAATCATACTTAGCCCTTAACTCCCCTTAAATTACATCATCATAAACAAATCTTTTATACAACATTTACTATAAAATTTACTTATAAAATAAATGAAACTTTATAGTCCCATACTTCTTCTGAATATAATCTATCCATCTTCTCCATACAATATCTTTCTTGTGTATGATCCTTTAAATAAGCAGAAATTTTTGCCATTTCTGCAAAATTAGAAATTTTAAATTTAAAGTATTTAAAACCCTCTTTCCATTTTTTGTATTTGTCCTTTTTGTCTTTAGTTTGTCAGAAAGATCTTTGTGCAGCCATGTTGGTTTCTTCTTGAGTTTCTGGTTTTTCTTTTTCAGTGGTATTGTGCTGGTCTGAGCTTGTATGATCACATTTTTCAGAGTTTCCCATGCTTCTTGGGTTGTTTTCTCCTTTAGGACTTTCATGCATGGGATCTTTCCTAGGTTCTCTCTGAGTTTGTTAAAGTCAGCTCTTTTGAAGTTTAAGACACTGGTTGGATTGTTTTCTATTACTAGTGTTTGCATTATATTAAATTCCAGTATGACGTGGTCACTTTCACCCAAGTTTCTGGCAACTTCAACTCCCTCTATCACTTCTTCTCTATTAGTAAGAATTAAGTCCAGTATAGTTTTACATTTAGTTCCCTCCTCCACCTTTTGGATGACAAAGTTGTTGGCTAGGTTGGTTAGGAATCTGTTTTATCTCCCGCTCACTGCAGAGTTTGTCTCCCAGTTGATATCTGGATAGTTGAAGTCTTCCATTACTACTGTGGTATGCTTCCTACCTACATTTGTTAACTGGTTGGCAAAGAGTTCATCTATTTCTTCTGATTGGTTGGGTGGCCTGTAATATATTCCTATGGCGATGTCATTTTTTTCTCTCTTATATTGACCCATAGACATTCTGGAGAGATTTTATCTTTGATCATGTGCATTTCTGTAGATATGTAGTGTTCTCTTACATATAGTGCAACTCCCCCTCCTCTTTTTGTAGACCTGTTTTGAACAATTTGTATCCATCCATCAGTCTGTCACACCAGGTTTCTGTAATGCCAACTATGTCATACCCTCCCTTGTGTACTATTGCTTCTAGTTCGCCCTGTTTGTTCCCCAAGCTTTGAGCATTTGTATATAAGCATTTAAGACTTTTATGTCTGTGGATATGTTTCCTGCATCTCCTGATTGTTGTTTGAGTTTTTCTTTTTCCTCATCACTGCCTACCTCATTGTTTGATTTGGGTTTTTTGGGGGGATTTATGATTGGTTTGGGGTTCTAGAGATTCTAAAGATTGGTCACCCTCCCCTCTCAATTTTAGTTTAAAGCCCTCCAGAGTTGGGCCAGTCTTTTTCTGAGTACATTTTTCCCTGTTTTTGTGAGGTGCAGCCCATCCCTTGCCAAGAGTCCTTCACTTTGGAAATGCAGTCCATGATCCAGGAAACCAAAGTTTTCATGGGGACACCAATCCTTTAGCCCAGCGGTTCTCAACCTATGGGTCGTGACCCCATTTGGGGTCGAACGACCATTTTACGGGGGTTGCCAAACAACGCGATCCGCCATTTTTCCCCCTCAGGGGGCACCGCTGTGCATGCGCATGCCGCCACGCATGCATGTCGCACGTGGGGGTGCCACCACGCATGCGTGTCGCGCGTGGGGGTGCCGCCGCACATGCGTGCCGCACGTGGGGGTGCCGCCGCGCATGCATGCCGCGTGTGGGGGCGGCGCGTCCGTGTGACGGGGGTCGCCATCACACAAACGTTGAGAACCGCTGCTTTAGCCAATAGTTTATTTGTAAAATTCTTTTTCCTCTCAATGGGTGTTGGGCTTTCGTTGGGAGTACTGATGAGAACACTACTTGTGCTCCTAGCTTCTTAACTTTATTGCCTAATTGTTTGTAATCTCTTACTATTGTACTCAGGTTCTTAGTTGTGTCATTTGTCCCAATGTGGAGGAGAAGGAAAGGATAAGTAATCTGTAGGCCTAATAATTTTGGTTAGTTTCTCAGCCACATCTTTAATTTTTGCTCCAGGGAGACAACATACCTCCCTGGACTCTATGTCCGGTCTGCAGATGGATGATTCTGTTCCTTTGAGGATAGAATCTCCTATTACCAACACTCCCCTTCCTTTTTCAGGGGCTGAAGTCTGGAGTGATTTTCTGTTTATCTCAGGTGTGTTTGTTGATGTGACTTTTTTTAGAGATATTAGAAGTGATTTTTTTAGGGATATTTGAAGCTGTTTTTTTTTTCTAGGTATCTGCATATTTTCTTTCAGGGGGAGGTTGTGGGTCTGCATCTTTCGATCTAAGGGGAAAAATCAATCGCTCAGTTTTAATAGGACTGCTTCTGGTTGGGTTGGGTTGGGAAGAAGGGGTTTGTTAGTTGTATGCTGCTTCTTTCTTTGAGTATTGCGTTTCCTTCTATGTGTGACATACCTCCATTTGTCTTCCTCCAATGGTTTATCAGTAGGGTCAAATTCTCTGGGAGTTATTTTTCATTATTTGGTTTGGTTTGGGTTTAGCAGTGGTGGCGAACCTATGGCACGTGTGCCAGAGGCGGCACTCAGAGCCTTCTCTGTGGGCACGGGCACAGGCACCATCACTCAGCCCCGCCTCTCCCCACAGCCTCCTCCTCACCAACAGCCCCCTCAGAGTCATTCACGGCCCACGCGGAGCAGCGCAGTGAAGGACATGGCAGCCGGGCAGCAGAGACAAGACTCTGCCCTCGCACCCCATCGCGTGCAGATGCTGCTGCAGGGCACGGGTGGAGGGTGTGGCCACCATGGCGCTACAGGGCCACATGGGCGATCTGCGGTGGGCTGTGGAGGTGGTAGGTGGCCCTGTGGGCGGGCAGGGCAGTTTTTGGACACTTGGTGTCTAAAAGTTTCTCCATCACTGGGATATAGCTTTCTTTCATAGATTGGGGTTTGGCTAGAGTTGCCTCTTAAGTACCTTACTTTTTCCTCTAATAGTTCACATAGTTTACATCTAATGCATGTATAATTTGGGTGTTTTTTGGGCATAAGCACATACATGGAACATGTATTGCATACCACAATAGTACCAGTCATCTGTTCCATTAGTTTGTTGTTTGAAAATCCCTCTTTTTGGTTGGTGAATGAGCTTTGCTGTTAGCCTTGTTTCTTTCGTCTCTGTTCTAGATAATTGTGCCTGTTTTTTTAGTATCCTTTTATCTGCCTACTTATGATCGTTTTTCTACTTTGTTATTTATTTAACCTTCTTACTATTATGTTTATTTTATTTATCCTTTTCTTCCCTCTATTTTTTTTAAAGTTTTTAAGCTCCAGTTCCTTTTTGTTCTTTACTGGGGGTCTTCTCTCCCTTTCTATTGGGACCTCAAACTTAATTGTTGCCTTCATTTCTGTTGCTCGCTGCTCCGGCCTCTTGTTGTTTTCTCTGCCAGCTCTTTTCTGTCTTTGGTGTTCGTGCCTGCTCTAGTAAGGCCTCTGTTCAGCTTTCTAGTCGGTTACTATGTCTGGTCTGCTCCTCTCAGCTGGCTACTCAGTTTGAGAGGCCAGAAGCATCACTGTTGCTGCTGCTGCGTTTCTCCCCCTCCCTCAGGTTTTGCTGCCTCCAATTCCTCACATTGCTGTAAGCCAGTAGTGGCGAACCTATGGCACATGTGCCAGAGGCGGCATTCAGAGCCCTCTCTGTGGGCACGCACCCTGTTGCGACAGCCCCGCCACCCCCGTGGCCCCCTCCTCACCAGCAGCCCCCCCCGGAGGAGAGTTGCCCCGGGAGCAACCTGTGCAGAGCAGCGCAGCCAAGGACATGGCAGCCGGGCAGCAGGGACAAGACTCCGCCCTTGTGCCCCATCACAGTCAGATGATGCTGCAGGACGTGGACAGAGAGCATGGCCACGACGCTGCTGGGCCGCCTGGGCGATCTGCTGTGGTGGGCCGTGGAGGTGGTGGGTGGCCCCGTGGGCACGACAGGGACAGGGCAGGGGCGAGGCGGGTTTGGGGCACTCGGTCTCTAAAAGGTTCGCCATCACTGCTGTAGGCCTTTTGTCTTCTGCCAGATCAGGCTAGCAGGAGGTGGGGGGAGGGGCTGCTGATCTCGCTGGGGAGGGAATGCTGATCCAATCCTCCACCTGAAGCAAATCTGCCCTGGGGAGGGCTGCGTGGCTGGAAGGAGGCAGGGAGAGGGCTGTGCGAGTCGGGCTGTCCCTGCTTTGCTGGGCCCTGAGTCGGGCTGCCTGGCTGCCCCTTTGAGCTGGGCTGCCTTGATTGAGGTTTGGGCCTAGGCCAGTGTTTCCCAACCTTGACAATTTTAAGGCATGAGGACTTCAACTCCCAGAATTCCACAGCCAGCAACGCTGGCTGTGGAATTCTGGGAGTTGAAGTCCCCATGCCTTAAAATTGTCAAGGTTGGGAAACACTGACCTAGGCAATTGCTGAATAAATGCTATGACCCACTGGTTCGCTGCTTCCAACAGTTTCCCTCCTTGTCTGCTGTTCAGATGCTGATTCGCTGCTCTCAGTTGCCTTTTTTTTTTCCAGCACTGGGCTGCTTAGCTATGTTCCAGAGCTGGCTCTCTCGTTCTCTGCTGCTGGCTGCCTCCGACTCCATGTGCAGCCATTCATTGGCTGCACTCTTGTTTGCTGGTGTTTTCCTCCTTACCCCAATTTCTTTTCCTTTATCCTTTCTATCTTCCTTATCTAACTTTCTGCTTCTTTTTCCTCCCTTTCCCCCCCCCCAGTACTTTCCTACTTAGTTTGGTTACTTCTTTCCCCGTGATCCGATACGGCTTCCTACGCAGCCACCATCTTGGAACCAGCTTTTGCATTTTTGGCATTTAAGCATTCATATCCTGCTCTATGTTTCAGAACATCAACCATTTGCAAAATACTAAAAGAGTAAAGGAAGCCAGGACAACACATTACCATGTTGACAGCAGGCTTGTCACTACCACAAGGGCTAAGCCTCCTAGGGATCCTAGTGAGAAAACCCTTAACTTCTATCAAAAGCAATGGAACAGGATCAAGATGTATGTGACTAAAATCTGTGTCAGAAGATATTCACTGCTAATAAAAGGCCAAATAGCTTTTCCTCCCTTCTCTGCCTCCTTCCCCATCGCTGCCACTGAAGGAAGCTTATCTTTGCAGATCTAAAACATGCCTTTTCTCCAGCTGTATTGTGAGTCTGCTCTCTCTCTGTGATAAATCTGTCCTGCTGGAAGCTTTCTAGACAAGCATGTTACAGTTTTTCTTTCCTACTGTAGCTGAAAGGCAGGAAGCTCTGTTGCAGTTTATTCAATCTGATCAGAGGAAACCCTAGAGAGAATCCTTAAAGGTGTTGTCAAGCTGAGTCTCTGTGGCAATGGAGAAGCCGTAGGGAGACAAAGATCAAATGCACAGAGAAAGAGAACACAGTAGCTCAGGTGGATATGAAGTGTAGCTAGAAAAATTCCTCAAAATACAATTCTGTTTGTATTTCTCACAGTTTGCCATGTGTGTGTGTGTGTAGCAGCTCAGTGTGTTCCACATGTTCAGTGCAGGCATAAGATATCTTCACATCATAGTCATCTGTGGCAAGGCACAATGATGTCAAGATGCAAATGTCATTACTTGCCTCCCTTGTTCCCAATGAGTACTCATAGATCACATGGCAGAGATTTGAACAAGCTATGAAAGAATTTAAACAGGTTGCAAAGGCACAGATAAAGTCAACTGCATTTACAGAACATGGAGTTGCCAAGCTCTCTAAGAAGCACTGCAGAAAGCAAAATTTTAAATATGAACAAAGCAGGGCTTAACTACAGCACAAGCGACAATTATTTGGCAGAAGAAGAAGCTGAAGACTTCTTTTTGAAATGGCAAACACGTGTCCTCACTCACCATCCTGTGGATGTACTTAGTATGTAAACCATGCTCATCCTTGTCCAGCTGAGATCCAGCCCCTTCAACATCCTGTTTGTATTTTGGACTGATTGCTATGATTATCATTACTGTCTTCTGTCAGAAAGAGAAACACTTTTGTGAAATCATAAAATGCAGTACAGTTGGGCAAAAACAGCTGGGAAATCTGCCAGCTGGAATTTTACGTGATCTGATGTTCCCTGGAAGCATAAGACAAGCCAGTTCCTTTTGGCAGTGAAACGGTACAGTATACATTGGAATTCCTCATACCAGATTTCCTGGATCTCCCATGAAGCTCAGCTTAATTTAACAGTGAGAGAAAATATTTTTCAGCATTGGCTGTGCTGAATCACAAAGCTTACCAACTCAGCCTATTGGACGTAATTATGCATACTGTACAATACACACACACACACACAAAGAATGCATATTTATAATGTTGATTCTCACAGCTTGGAATAGCTAAGAAGCTGTGGAAGAAATTAAACACCTCTTATTTTCCAGAGAAGAAGATTTAAAACTTATTTTTAGGAAGTAGGTTTAAAAATAAACAAGACATAATCACTAAGGTTCTCCTTCCATAAGTACTAGATTCATACACTGTACTAATTCACACTGTGGTTTTAAAAATTTTTTACTTTGTATCCCATCTGAAATCAGAAGGAGCACTAAAATTTACAGCAGGACTGAATGACTTTTTCTGCTTGGCAGGGCATGCTTTATTATATTATCATCTTCAGTTTGCTAAGGGGTAGAAAAGACAATAATGTAATAAGGGGATGAAGCCAAAATTATCAATTTGTTCTTTGGGGAGTATATGTGTCATTTTTGTAGGTGTATCAAGCTTATTGGAAGTGTAGCACAAACTTCCTTTAGTTTATCACTGAACACTGGTAGGATATTGGTTTGGGGGATTTACCACTCACTTTGGCTTGCAAATTGTTGAGGCATTAGGTACAAAGCTTTGGAAACTGCTTGTTATCTACAGTTTATGATTTCCTTATCTAGTCTTACATGTATAGTAAGCCAACATATGCAAAAGTATCTATCCAGCATGCTATTTCTAGCAACTGATAGATTTCTTCTGGGTAACACAATCATTTTTTTTAAGGCATACCCACCTATCTCATCAAATTATTAAAGTGAGCAGAACCTAGGTTCACATAATGAATTAAGCAAAAGTTTAATCTTAGTTTATCAAATAAGCCCCAATTGCCTTGGTTTATATGACCTACTTGGTCAAAAGCAAAATATGCCCAACTATGGGTTAGTTCAATATGTAAATCAAGTTCTCTTGGCAGTTCACTGCTGCTCATATGTTTCTTTGAATCTAATCCAAAATATACAGTATAGCTAATTGATGTGCTTGATGTATGTTTTTGTTCTTATACACACACACACACACACACACACACACACACACAGAGAGAGAGAGAGAGAGAGAGAGAGAGAGAGAGAGAGAGAAAACATGTATATTCCTGTACATAATACAGACAAGATGGATAGTTCATTACTCAGAGAAAGATTCCTCAAAATGCTCAGGAAAGGAATGTTACTGATAAAAAAGAGCCAGACTTTCTTCTCTCAGTTGCTTCCATTTTAAGTTTGAGGAAAGAGGAGGAGACAGGGCAGGAAAAACATTAATAATTAAGCCACATGGGGAGGGGGGAATAGGTTCCTATTTTAATTCATTGGGGTTTAGGAAGAAGCCTTACATATTCAGTGCAGGAAAAAAGTACAAGATTTACATTTTATCTTTACTTACATCACTTAGATAACGTTCCATCCACTTGATAATATCAATTCCTCGAATAGTGTCTTCAAATATGTCAATCTGTTAAAAAGTGAAAATATTAATATTTCTTTAGCCCTGACTGCTCTCTATGAGTCTACTTTAATCTTAATTCAACATTAGCATCCTTTGCAAATAGTTTGATTTAAAAAGCTTTTAATGCAAATGTACCTAGCCCAACAATAGTGTCCATTTAAAAAAAAAATCACTACTACGTTTAGAACAGGTTGGTAACATTTTTGCAGATCATATCTTAGTGGAGAAATTGGTTAAATTAACTCAATGCACCCTGGGGGAAAAAAAACACACTTGTGCGATAAGGCCTTGCCCACTTTGCACCTGTGCCATCCCAATGGTGACCTCATCTACCCCAAAGGTTATACTCGCCAGCCATAAGCCATGGTTTACAAGCCACAGTGCTCAAGTTCACACGACACGTTTTGCCAAAACTATGAGCATCATGTTAAAATACTGCATACTATTTTGACCCAACCAGGATCTTTAGGAGTCCCAGAAAATGGCCCTCTGTTCATATTAGAGTAAGTCAAATTTCTTGTGTGCATAGATTACAAAATGCCAGGCCAACTTCCGCCATTCCACATCATTAATTGGTATCTATCACTTCAGAGTATGTTTCACTCAGTCTTGGAGGAAGATGTTCATGAAGTTACTGTCATGGAAGAATAAAATGTAAATGGAAATTCTTGATACGAAAGTAGGTCTGTTCCTACTAATATTAAGTCAGCACCTGTGATTGTTGTTCACACATGCAGACTGCTGCTGGATAAACCTTTTAGAAACAAATTACAATTCTGAAACGTCATTTCCACCCAATACATCCATTTTAAATTCACATTTACATGTATTACTTATATGAATTTTCTGTCTCTTTAAATAATATTCATTATAAAATATACAATATTTAGGCAGACAGGCACATTAAAAACAAACAATACCACTTTGAATTTAGAATTGCCTCTCTTCAGATATTCTCCCTTTTTTCTCTTTGCAGTGATTCAGGATTCCAAAATAAAGTACTTACCGCAGTCTGAAATCCATTTACAAATAAAAAATTCACAAATTTCATGACCTCCACAGCTGCATCCACAGAATAGGTTATAAAGACTTTACCTAGGAGAAGTATAATTATCAATAAATAAAACAGGTGTGCTTTGAAACAAACTAGTTCTGAATTCCAAAGGCAGCCTACCATGAGTAGCTGCAAGATGATTGTCAACGCTGCTAACATTGGATGTTCTTGCTTTGACAACATATGGAGATGCAGCCGTTTTCCTTCTTATGTTTTACTCTTAGAATTAGAGTTAGAATTAGATGATACTGGGGGGGGGGGAGGAGGAGGAATGTGCATGGGAGTTTAGTTAGACAGGGCTTTTCAACCTTTTCACCCATCGTACCACTTTTAGGATATGGCAATATCTGAGTACCACCAGTCGCCTAGCAAGATGTCAAAAACTTGAGGACCAAAAAAAAAAAAAAAAAGGAAAAAAGTACCACAGGTGATATCCGTACCACTGGTTGAAAAGCCCTATAGTTAGACATAACAATATTGTAACTAGTGTGAGAACCAAGGTTTTTTGAAATAAGAGATGATAAGAAATGGCGGTTGAAGAACTTGAGGGAAAGCCTGCATTTCAAACTAATTGGAGAATGTGATTTATGACAGTTAACTAGAGGAGGGAATTGTGTTTTGATACTATGTGCTCAGGGGAGGGGAATTCAGATTTTGGCTTTGCCTATGTACATGCCGATGCTATTCTACTCGAATAAAGATTCTTTAAGGTAAACAATTCCTAGAAGTTCTTTGAAGAGTTTCATCTGTCGGAACCATGACAATGATATGCTGCAGAGCAGATGGCAGGTGTGGCCAAGAGGCCCTTTGCACAAGTACATCTAGTGCAGGCATATCAAACATGGGGTCCACGGGCCAGATGCAGCCGGTGCAGGCCGCACCCAACCCAGCTCCTCAAGGGCAAAAGCCATCCCAATATATGGCCCGCGATGTGATTGAGCTTGACAGCCCTGATCTAGTGCATCAATTTCATCCTTTCCTGGACCAGGAGATTCTCCAAACAGTCACTAATGCCTTGGCCATCTCACAAGTGGACTATGGTAACCCATTCTGCACAGGGCCGATCTTGAAAACTACTTAGAAGGGTTAGCTGCATGCACCACTAGCATGCAGTGGTGCAGACAGCCATGGGCAGACTGCGTTATGTTGATTATATGTTCTTGCAGAAGAAAATTTATAAATTTATTTTCTCCAAAAGGAGTGTCAGAGAACAGATCAAATTTACAGAGAACGCCTGTTTCACTTATGCCAAGAGCTTTGAAACCCATGCCATTTTGAGGCCTGGTGGTGATGAAATTAATCCACTCAAATGCAAATGAAATAGTGGCCACTAACCTCTTCAGATACAAAGCATTATGTACATTATACTAAACTACAAGAAGTTGTTAAAGCTATCACTGTCACATTTTTCTGATAACCAATGACTCTGCTAGTCTTAGCCTGAACCTTACAAAATAAATTAAGAGGTAAGAGTAAGTGAAGGATCAGAACACTGACCAGTACAGCCTCCCTTTTAAGGAGTTCATTTTTTTGGCCCAGAAGTATCTACATTGGCTTTGTAGATTAGTCCAAAATTTAATGCCCATTCAGTGTATTGAATGCATTGCCAGCTAGCTGGTTCCTCTTTATCTAGGAAGAAACTGTACTTGGGCCTCTTTTTACAGGAGAAGAAGCAACAAGATAAATTCTTCAAAATGACTGTTTCCCTTCAGCTTTTTAAAACTTTCTCCCTGCTTGTGTTTTTAATTCTGTTCGATATCTTTGGGTGCTTTTCTTTTCATTTTGCAAATACAAAGAGTCCCCCAGAGTCATGTGCTGAGTAGGCTAGCTATATAAATCAGAAAGATTTATATGAATGTTCTTTCAAGCTTTTTATTAATATAGCTCTAGAAATCTCTTAATCAGTAGAAGAACTCAATAATGCAAAAATGGTATGTGATACATGTTAGGGGGGGCGACGAGCCTTATTTACTTTCAGCACATACTGTAAATATATGCAGAACTAACAAACAGGAAACAGCAGAAACTTACGTAGCTCTTCAGGCAAGTTGCTGGTCCTCAGTGTCCCTCTGGCTGCAGAATTATTCAGGGGTCTTGGGATAGCCCCAGGGGTGGACATGCTGCCAGACTGAGCCATGGAATCAAAAGGAACTCTCTCTATGCCCTCATGGGCACCGTATATTTTGAATGATGTGTTATTATCAAGCATCTGCTTCTGACACTGGTCACTGAGAAGAGAAAGAAAAACGACTGTAAATTCTGAAAATGTTCAAATCTAATGTTTATGAATACATGTTTGGTGTCCTTTCTTAACAATAAAGGCATAAAAATTCTCTGTGTTCAGAGAAAGCCGGGAAAAACTGCATTTATAAGCCAGGGAAGATTTAGCGCCCCCCCCCCCACAAGCTCCTTTTGTTTTAAAATGCAAAAGAAATGAATTGAGCTTGCTCCTATTTGTTGAAACAGAATTGGGGTGGACTGGATTTAGACGAGTCTGCCACCATTTGTACTTGGGGCCTGCCGGTACTGAAGATGCTCAGTCACAGTGCAATCCTGCGAGCAAAAGTCCTACCATGTTTCCCTGAAAATAAGATCCGGTCTTATAGTTTTTTTGCCTCCAGGTAGCAGGTCTTATTTTCGGGGGATGCCTTACCCGCTTACCTTAGGACCGCTGCAGCCTCCCATGCCCTGACACCTGTTGCGCCACTGCTTGAGTTCTTCTGTGGCCCCTTGTGGCCGCATGCCATGTGGCGCATCGTACCAGTGCTGCTGCTCACGGCAGGTGGCCGTGTGGCGCATTACGGCCTCCTGCCGCAAGCGGCAGCACTGGCGCTACCACCATGAGCCACTCAAGTGTCCTGCTATGAGTGGCGGCGGCAGCACAATTACCATAAGCCATGTGGCATCCTGCCAGGAGTGGCAACACCAGCGCAATGCATCACATGGCATGCAGCTACAAGCGGCCACAGAACTCAAGCACCAGCGCGACAGGTGCCAGGGTGGGGAGGCCTGGCTTTAGTGGTCCTAAGGTAAGCAGCTGGCATTCATGGTCCTCCGACCCCGTCGGTGACTGGCCTCCCTTAGGCTTCGCTGGCGTCTGTGGCGCAGCCCGCGGAGATGTCTGCTCAGTTGACGTTCGGCTGGTGCAGTCATGGGGCGTGGCGGGGCAATGCTCAGCTGTTTCCCAAACAGGCGCATTTTATCCCATGCAAGGGCCTGCCATCAGCGCGGCGGTTGTCACGGTTGTTTATTCAACACGTTTACCGACTCCATGGCATACCCAGAAGAATTGTGTCGGATAGAGGGGTGCAATTCACCGCGAGATTCTGGAGGGAGTTCGTTCGTACACTAGGGTCCTCACAGGCGTTGAGTTCAGCGTATCATCCGAGCACCAACGGGGCGGCAGAAAGGGCAAATGCCATGGTGGAAAGATACCTCCGGAGTGATGTGTCATTTCAGCAAACGGACTGGGTGGACCTCTTGCCGTTTGCTGAAGTGGCGTATAATAACACTGTCCACAACAGTACGGGATATACCCCGTTTAAGATAGTGTATGGGATGGAGTTTAACCCCATTCCCAACCTGTCACCAGAGGTAGCTAGCGGCCAGACCCCTCAAACATGGTACGCCCAGATCACAGGGTTGTGGGACCGGGTGAAGGAAGCACGGAGAAAGGCCGAGGCCGCTGCCAAACTCCAAGCCGACAAAAGACGAGCAGAGCACAAACCATTCCAGGTGGGAGACTGGGTATATTTAGCCACCAAGTATTTACGCTTGCAGGTGCCATGCAAAAAACTGGGGCCGAAATATGTGGGTCCCTTCCAGATCCTCAAAGTAGTCAACCCGGTGACGGTTCAATTACGGCTACCCGCCTCTCTAGGCAAAGTTCATCCCGTGTTCCATAGTAGCCTGCTCAAACCTGCACATAAAAGTCCCTACGCTGACAGAGCACCCGGGCCGGTCTCGGGGTCCCATTATGAAGTGCAGGAAGTCTTAGACTCACGTAGGCGCTATGGTAAGACCCAATACCTCCTTCGATGGAAAGGATACCCGTTGTCGGACGCAACCTGGGTGGGAGAGGAGGATATAAACGCACCTAACCTAATCCGAACGTTTCACCGTAAGTGCCCGGGGAAGCCAGGGCGAGACAGATGTAACATGGTACATTCAACCCCTTCCCTTTCTTTTCCAGGGGGACACGTGGTAAAGGGGGCCGCATGTCAAGCCCCTAAAGGCTTGCCATACGAACGGGGACGGGGGAGCACGGATAACGACCTACCAACCCGGGACACAGCTGAGCATTGCCCCGCCACGCCCCATGACTGCACCAGCCGAACGTCAACTGAGCAGACATCTCCGCGGGCTGCGCCACAGACGCCAGCGAAGCCTAAGGGAGGCCAGTCACCGACGGGGTCGGAGGACCATGAATGCCAGCTGCGCTTTACGGAAGGGAGGGCGATGGACGGGCCATCTGGGGCCGAAAGGACTGCACTCCGGCGGCCGGACCCAGCAAAGGGGGGTGGGGGGTTATCCTTTCGCAACCGGGACAGTAGGCAGGGTAAGTTTGGCGGCGGGCAACTGACGCGCAGTTCGGGCGCACGGACAACGGGGGGTGGGGGCGGAGTTCCGTCGGGGAAAGGGAAAGCACAGGGAAAGGGTGGAGCATTTATTCATTTGAAGCGGATGGTGGTTTGGAACCGGGGGCGGACCCAAAGGGTGGAGCACGCCAATATATGGCGGTGGGAGGTAACTAACACCAGTGCTGACTTTATCTCACCTGCATAATAAAGTGCTTGTTGGGTGTCAGTGTGTGCCGGTCTTCTTTGCCTTCGCGCTACGGACGACATCGGATATTCTGACAGCAGGGATGCGGGGCAGTTCCACATCCCTATCCTTGCCCTAGCTTGATTTTTATGTCTGTGCCTGGCCCCAAAACTAGGGTTTATTTTGGGGGCAGGGCTTATATTAGGCGCATCTGTAAAAATCAAGCTTGGTCTTATTTTTGGGGTAGGTCTTATTTTCGGCAAAACACAGTAATTAGTTCAACGGTTTGTTGCTCAACATAAGGATCGGAGGAATTCACATCAATACTTCTTAAAGTATACTTTCTGTATGCCAAGTGTATCCAAGCTCTTGAAAAGACCATCAGTATTTTAAAAGAGGTCTGTCACTAGCATTTTTTTTATTTCAATTATTTCTTTTGTTCTGTTTAATATCTTAAAAATTAAGAGAAATCCTGAAGCATTTGATAGGAATCTGAGATCTCCTCTTCCCGTGGGATAAAAACAGTTCTGTGATTTCAATCAATCCTGAAGTCAGGGTGACTATAGCGGTCAATCCTTTGTGAACAGGGAATTGTAAATCGAAGGGCAATGTCAAAGCTCCATTATGGATTGGAGCAGGAAACACGTGTATGTTGGTCACTACCTGCGTTGCATGACCTCATTCATTTCAAATAGACTTGGCCCCCGGAGGAGAAGCAGTAACATACAATATGTGGGCATGCAGGTATACATTCTTACTATGCAAGTTGAATTGTCTGTGTTGAAGGACAATGTTTACAATCTATTTCCAGACTGAATAACCTGCAGCTTTCAGTGGTCACATGGCCTTCCAACTAATTTCTTAGAAGATGACAAGATGGTATATGCAATCCTACATTGCTGCAAACTTCACCCACTTTTAACTCCAAACCCACCTATGCTTTGTTATGCCTGGTTGACTTATCCCATGAGTTAGTGACTCTACATAGATACTAGTTACTAGAGGCTAACTCTGGGTGAATAATCCAAAGAGGCAATAAAAGAGAAAGCACTATATCTAGAAAAACTGGAAGCTAACAAGATGAACAAGGAGAAAGACTTAAAATTACTGAATCAAAGTACATAAGATTTTGTTTTCCTGCCAGAAATCAGAGGCTCGTCAGAAGCAGCAGAGATTCATATCAACAAGGCAATTCAGCCTGGGAAGATCACTCAATTTGCCCCAGTGAAATTATTAGGGAGGTTTTAAATTACTTTAGGTTTATATACATTTTGTAGATGATCTCACAGCAATAAATTACTATACTCTTGAACTGAGAAGTTTAGAGAAATACAAAAGGTTTGCACTTTCACTCAGAAACTTTAGATGAAACGCTAAGGTAATTTCTCCACTAATGACTTACTGTGTCTTCAAGAATCATCCAGTGAGAAGTTGTGTCAAAATAACAGCAATGATAGTCTTTATATACCAGTGATGGCGAACCTTGTAGAGACTGAGTGCCCAAACTGCAACCCAAAACCCACTTATGCATTGTCAGGTGCCGGGTGGGCGTGGCCCATTGGGTGGGCATGGCTGCAGTGGTAACGGCAGACTGGGTGGGACTAAAATGTTCAATCAATCAATTCCCACAGAGAGGGCTCTGAGTGCCGCCTCTGGCACTTGTGCCATAGGTTCGCCACCACTGTTATATACCATCGATTGATCATGGCCAAGTGATGCTGTAAGTCACTAGTAATGAAATGGCCAAATCCACTTTACTTAACTATTATCAAATGATTTTTTTAATGTCCATTTCTAGTGCTCTCTTTAAGTCAGTGGCTTAGTAAATTTAAGCTTGTCTGAATTTGAAGCAGCCATTCTTGATTAAATTTGGAACAAATAATGACTAAATCAGTAGTTTGAAATTCTGGTTCACAGTAACCAGAAATAGAACCTATTTCTATATACTTAGCCATCAGCCTTGATTATAGGAGCAAATGAGATGACAGGTGAAATGGCAATATATGTGTTGATATCATCCAGGCAAAGATTAGCATACCGTTCATACACATATGATGCTAAAACAATCATAATTAGCTTTGCCTAAAAAAATGAAATAAGCTCCAAGCTTGGAAAATACTTACTGAAATCTCTGAAGTCCTTCGGAAGAGCTTTCCCCCTCAGGCAGCCTTCCTTCATTACACTTGGGTCCATATGGACTAGAATAATGCGGGATTATTTGCTGAGCAGGGCGGATGATTCTTGCACAAGGGCCAGGAAGAGGAAGCTGCACTTGAGGTGAACGTGCTAAATGTTGATAGGGGGCTTGCCCATCTAAGCATAACAGAAAATAAAAATTCAGGCCAGTGTATAAATGAGATTCCTTTCCATAGCAGGGAAACAGATGGTACAGAAAAGTCTCGACTTACAACAGTTCGTTTAGTGACCGAAGTTACAACAGCACGGAAAAAAGGACTTCTGACCATTTCTCACACATACGATCGTTGCAGCATCCTCATGGTCATGTGATCAAAATTCAGATGTTTGGCAACTGACTCATATTTATGATGGTTACAGTGCCCTGGGATCAAGTGATCACCTTTTGCAACCTTCCGACAAGCAAAATCAATGGGAAAGCCAGATTCACTTAACAACCAGGTTACTAACTTAACTGCAGGGATTCCCTTAACAAATGTGGCAAGAAAGGTTGGAAAAAAGAGGCAAAATTCACTTAAAATGGCCTCACTTAGCAACAAACATTTTGGGCTCATTTATGGTCCTAAGTCAAAGACGACCTGTATGATCAAACTGGATGCATTCATTATACCAAGAAATGGTTTTATTTATTCACATTTTATCGAATAAACCCCACATGCAACTCACTAAGGCTGCACATGCTTCAAAACCAATTTGGAAGACGTGCCTGGGATTCCTGCAAGCACAGCATCCCTTTGCTATTCATTAAATTATGCACGGCATTAAATAATGGTAATGTCACACTAATGTGTGATTGTTTTCTTAATTGTAGCTTATTGAATAATCAATGTTGGGTGAAATCACTTGATTAAGGCTGCCACAATGAATTCATACAACATATGAAACCAAACCCCAATAAACTACAACATTACGGGTTAATATGACACGGGCCCAGCGAGTAGGACCACCACTTTACAAAAATACAGTCAATGCATGTGTAGCAATGGAAACACCATTTATCACTAATGAGCTTACAGGGATTCTGGCGGTACATATTATGATTGTAGTATCTTGGACGCCACTGAGCTTCTGGTGAAATATAAAGATGGGGAATCTGTGGAAATAAAGGGTATGACTGAGAGTCCATCTGTGGATATTCCCTGGACATCAGAGGCTTTGGAAGGTCGTGTAGGTTCAAAGCAGAAGTAAAGGACAAGAGAAGCTCAGCTTGTCCAATGCCCAGAGGATCCTGAGGCTGAGAATCATATCCTGCATCTTCTGTCCTTAGGTCTACTGGCACCCTATTATCGTGCTGCCAGTTTGGCTTTGCCTTTTCCTGACTTTCACCAAGTGAATGCTGGGATATTTCAGATGAACTTCTTTGCAAATTACTAGAACTGTGCCCGACGTCAGGAGAATCAGCGGATGGTTGAGATCTCAAGAACTGGTTTGTTTTGTGTTGAGGCAAATGATTACATTCTGAATGATCTGAGGAGTTGCTGGATGGGCCAGGAAACCGCCCACTTCTAGAATCATAGATGTCTTGTGGAAGACTGTGGCCATCAGTTTCTACTATGCCGTTATTATAATTGACACGATCAAGGTGCTTATAGAATCCTAGTTGCCCATTCATCAGATGAGATGTTTGAGATGGATAAGATCCCATAGGCATTGAGTTATTTATGATTTCTGCAGAAGGGTTCAATGCCTCTTTCAGTAAATGTTCTGGAAATGGAGACCAGTCGATAGTTTCATCAACTTCAACTGGCATACTTCGACCCATTGTAGCACCTAAAGTGGAAAAAATATATACAGTACAATTTTTTTATTTACTCTGCATAAAAGTACTTCATATCTAATTCAGATGTGCTCCCAGCAATAAAATGGGAAATCTGAGAAATGAAAGCAACACTTCTGGAAGATAAGGTAAAGTTGGGATTGGCTGAATTTTATTACATAATTGGGAATCTTATGGAAATACTTTAAAGAGACTCCTGACTTGGCAAACACCTGCCTAGGTGCCTGAAAAAAATTTAGACTGTCATAGTCAGCTTTGATTGCTCTCTTCACCACAGTTCTTTTTGCTTTCCACCCAATCCTTAGGACCTAGTCAATCAGTGGAGGGAACTGAGCTGGCAAAACCTTCCCCAAAGGTTTTTGAAAGTCTAAAATTTTCTAACGCATTTGACATAATTCATATAGACAACCACGATCTGCTTTATTGGCACTGGTTCAGTCTGAATAAAAGGCTTTGCATAGTGGCGACACAAAACACTAACCTTGTAAGGATGTCATTTCAATATTTTGAAGGAAATCTATGGAAATAGGTACCAAGTGCAAGTGGTAGCTAGGGGGTAAAAAGAAGAAAATACAAATAAATAATTACGATCATCATTCACAGAGTAGATAGGAAAAAGATTTATTTCTGTAATAATATGCTCATTTCCAGGTTTCCAGTCATTGAAATGGCTGAAGGAAGACATACAGGATTCCATTGAAGCAATGCTTATTTTATGCCTCATTGCTTTTGATTAATTATATCATGCTCTGAGATCTATGGATATAGATTATGTGATAAATATTTAAATAAACAAGTAGTCAACAAATAAAACACTTTTCTTCACTTTAGAGTTCTTCAGGTGTTTGGGAAACACAATAGGAAGAGAAAGGACTATGGGGAATGTTCACTGTCTTTAGTTACATATAAAGCAATAAAGACAGGATAAGAATACAATAAACATTTTAGTACATACATTTTAGTCAACTCATCTTCAATCAACAAGATGCTTTTGTATTTATGTCAAGGAAACATTAAAAAAACATATATTATCTGAGTTGTTTTTTTGGTAGGGCTGGGCAGCACTAAAGGGCATTGCAGGTCAAAATAACTAGACACGGGGACAGATTTTTCTATCACTCTGCAGAACATCCAACTCTCACAATTCTGTCTAATGTCTGACTGTATTTACTCCTGTAGTATGGCTGTAGTATTATTTATCCTTCTAAGTATCTTCTTTATTGCCCCCTCTTATTGGTATTATGATTATTGTCATTATTCTGTTGCTTTGCATGCACAATGAGAGCTTCTGCACTGGAGACAAATTCCTTGTCTGTCTAATCACACTTTGTCAAATAAAGTATTCAATTCAACTCAATTGTATCTAAGCTTGTTGTGATGTATGGCTAAAATATTCATCATCAAGTTCCCAACTTCAAAATTACACATGCATTTTCTGATCAGAATCAGTAAGCTTCTGTAGTATCATAAAAATCAATGAGGTATACGCTTTGAGAAGCTATGGAAGCTCCTACTTTCAGTCTTCTAAATATGAAAAAAAGCAACTGTATGATTTACACAGGGCTGTATGCTGGCTGGAGAATTCTGGGAATTGAAGTCCACACATCTAAAGTTGCCAAGGTTGAGAAAGACTGCAGTAGACCAACTAGTTCAGGGGTAGGCCACCTTGGCTCTTTTATGACTGGTGGACTTCAACTCCCAGAATTCCTGAGCCAGCACAGCTCAGGAATTCTGGAAGTTGAAGTCCACCAGTCATAAAAGAGCCAAGGTTGCCTACCCCTGAACCAGTTCCTTTTCCCCACTCACTCCCACCACACAGAAGCAGTCATTAGCGAAGGGAGGAAAACCTTCAGGCTTAGGATCCTAATAAATGGAGTGTTAGTTTCTCCGTTCTGACCTGTGAAGCTCTCTGGTCCAAAAATCAATGCATTTCATTTGAGGAAGCACATGTTCTTCATGGTTAATTTTCTTGCCAAGTTTGGAAGAATAACAATGAGTTCCAGTAGAGCTGACTTGAAGTATTTCTTCAAACCTTGCTCACTCTTCAGTTGCATAAAGGGAAAAATTCAGTAATGAACTGAAACACATCCAAATTAATTTTTTACTTTTTGCAGAAGAGAAACAGCTGAGAATGATTTTAAAATAGCAGGAGTTCTACGCATTTTAATATCAGTCAATTCCACAATTTCAGAAAAAGACTTAAAATGTATTTATTTCTACAGGATAAAGATTCACCTTTCAATGAAACTTCATAAGAAATAAGTTGAATCAGAAAATTATTCTGAGTCTCTGAAGTATCAGATTAAATTTCATCCTGACCCAAACAGTTGCAGCATTTAAAAAATGTAAAGCAAATTTCTCTTTATTATATTGTCACTTTCTCATTTCTATTCCTTCAGTCAACTTATAATTCAACTCCTACAAAATTAAACAGAAATGAAGAATACAATAGACATACATCTATCAAGTCCACAGGTAGTTCTGAAATATAATTCAAAATGTTGGGCTTACATCTATATGGACTGTAAAACTGCCACATCTGAGCAAGGAAGCAATATTATTCTGTAGTATTTAAGAACACTTATTTTAATTTCGTTTCCTTTCCTTGTCTAGAATTATCCAATTCAAGAATCTTTCTGTAGATAATCCTGAAGGCCTTCAACAAACCGAGATGCAGAAATCTCACCCCTTACAAGCAAAAAGACCCAGCTGTTGAATGTATGCATCCTGCATCTGCCCTGTCAGTATGGCTGAAGGCAGATGAAAAATTCAGGGATGGGGGAGCTGTTTCCGTTTGGCTCAAATACCAGCACATAGCAGCAGTGTACACATTTAAATGATTGCTGGATAATGAATCCAATCAGGCTGTCAAGTGGGAAAGGGGAGAGGAGTCAAATAAGATAATTTGTTTGGGTAATTTTCCCTGAACAAGTTCATATTAAGTTTTAATTCATATTCAATCATGGCCAGCATTTTGGAAGAGAGAAAAACCAGAATCCCTTGTGCTCCAACTGTTTGTGCATTTCTTAAGACAATTTGAACCTCATTGAAATCTCTGTACTTTCCCTTTTAAAGGCATGTGTTGGCCTATGAAATCTCCAAAGAACAAGGCTGACTAACTCTCTCTGCTTTTGATTAAATCTTTTCTGGCAGTAGAGAAGAAGAATGTGGAGTAACACATGGCAAGCTAGGTAGATTCCAGCTTCAAAGGCCATGCTGTTAGCTGAAAGAAACGAATAGGAAATAGGAAACGGGGAGGGGGGTAGATAGACCGTAAAGCTAGCCTGAGCATGCAACAGCACAGACATGGAGAGAGAAATGCAATTTGATTTTCAGGCTTTTTCAGCAAAGCATTCTTCCTAAATTAGAGTATGATAAGAGATCCACAGCCTGAGACTCCCTTCTCCCTAATTCTAATTTCAACTATTGTGCCATCAATTTCAGATTTTTCAGATAAGTAGATGACAGTTCTAAAGATTAAGAGAGAATAGTGGGATATAGAATTGCCTTAAAATTGTGCCAGTCTCAGATGGCTGATCAGGAATAGTGCTGGAAAAGTCATACTGAGGTACCACCACTAAGAAGGTCCTGCTCCTGATACCCATCAATTAAACATCTAATAGGGAGAGACCACTAGGGACTTATTTCCTAACTAACCCACTGTGGCTTAACTCACTTTTTCATATTAGGGGGTAAAAGAATGTACAAATAGAAAACCTTGCACACATCACTAAAACAAGCAGTTATTGTTTTCTATTCATATGATATATGTAGGCATCTAGAATTTTCTTGGAGTTGGGTAACCTTAACAAATCCAACAAATAAATAAGTCCTAACCATGATATATTTACATTGTCAAAATGTCTCCACTCTCTCAAAGAGGTACGTTGCAAGTTCATTTTTGAGTAATATTTTGGCAACAAATCAGAGAAGAAACATAATCTACTCTACGCCTATACTTAGGAGGGTATTTCGTGCAGAAAAACAGCTTTACATATTTCTCCCCTGGTACAAGGGAAGCAAGTTGGGAACAGAGCCTCCCAGAAAAAAAAATCTATCCAGGGCCCATTAAGAGTTGACACCGGCTTGATGGCACATAATCAGTCAAGCTTATAAAACTCAGCCAAGCCCATGGAATCGGCGAGAGCCAAACCCTGGGCCTCTCAGCCTTCTTTCCGATGACAACACAGATTTATTGGCAACAGAATCGCGGGGTCTGCATTTTCGAAGGGCTCTTATGGCCTGAGATAATGGCAGAGCCCAAGGTCTCACTCCCACCTAGCCTGCTGCGGGTGTAAATCACCAGTCCGGAAGTGAAACAGGCCCCAGCCGAGAAAAACAAGAGCAGTAGAGAAAAAGTGGGCCAACAGCTAACAGCCAAATAGCTAAAGGAGGGGAGCTTTTAACAACTCACCTTAGACACCCCCCCCAAAGGGGATCGGCAAGGCAGGGCAGACCACCTGGCCGCCTGGTCTCGTCTGTCCACCTCTTCTCCCCAGATTGTCCCCTCCCGGAGTTTTCCGGCTTCTCTCTTCTCCCTTGCTCTGACAGGTAAGTTGCTGAACAACTTCCGCACCAGGAAGTAGATCTGTGTATGCAAATCGCCGAGTTGGACGCCTCATTTTGAAAAAGTCAGAGGGCTGTCAGGGGAGGAAGTGCGGCCGATAACCCTGGAGGAGGGAGCGTTTGACTCAAGAGCGGTTCAGGCGGCGCGGTTGGGTTCCTTGGTTTTTCAGCTGGAAAGGGGAAGGAGAGCGGGGCGTCCAGATTCACTTCGGCCATTGACAAGAGCTGTCTCCTGCCCTACACTTTAGAAACAGAACAGGACGAGTCATTCAGGCGATCATTTATCCCTCTACTGTGCAACTTTAACTATCAGGCTTTTTTTATCAGGATCTGACAGGAGTTAACATTGGTAATATACACTGACGGGCAATGTTGGCAGCCTGCCCTCGTGAAAAAAAAAATGCCATCCAAAATCAGAGGTCCGAAGGATTTGTTGCGGCATATGACCCAATGCAGGGGTAGGCAACCTTGGCTCTTTTATGACTCGTGGACTTCCAACTCCCAGAATTCCTGAGCCAGCCACGCTGAGGGGAAAGGGAGAGGTTGCCATGCTGGCTCAGGAACTCTGGGAGTTGAAGTCCACGAGTCATAAAAGAGCCAAGATTGCCTACCCCTGGCCTAATAACTGCATAAGTTACAAGAATTTGAAGCACTCGGGCTTCTCTAAGGGAAGCTCCCAGACCCGGGTTGCAAAAATTTGCACCGATAGGAGCATGCAGCAAAGAGAGTCAGAAAACGACACTGCCACCTAGTAGTCATCTGGATGTTTGCAACCTGGATCCAATAGCCTTACTACTGAATCTATTTTTTTAAAAAAATGTCTAAATTCTAAAACATAAAATAACAACGCTCTCCCACCCACCCCCACCCGCGGCTTGTTTAAAGCCGTGTTTCTCAAACTTTCCAACTCTTAAGACCCGTGGAATTCTGGGAATTGGTCTACACATCTTAAAGTTGCTAAGTTTGAGAAACGCTGCTTTAAAGGAAGAGGTGTCAACCTTTTGGCAGCCCGGAGTAGCGGAAAGACAGTGTGATGTGCTTAAGGTGTGGAAGTGAAAATAGGGAGCCCCAAATTTCCTTTCTCTTTTTCTCTTGCCTGACCTTTCTTCCAAACTTGATGCTGTGGAGAAAAATAGGTCTTGCATGGTGCTAAGATATAAATACAGATTCTATATAAATTTACTCCTACCAATATAGGAGAGGTGCTTGACAGCAATCTGTCAGTGAGCAGACAGTACTAGAAGCCATGATGTTCTGACTTTTTCCCCTGCATGCTTTTTTAAAGAATGGGACCGTTTATTTTATTCTATTACTTAACGTTATTTATGTTTTAAAATTGTCCTTCAGGCCCCAATGTGAATCATTAGTCAGGCCTCAGTGAAGAAAAAAAAAAAAGGATAGACACTGCAAAGTCAAGATTATATGAACGCAAATCAGGAGGGTATATGTTCTGAAAAGAAAGAGCAGGATGGCTACGTATGTCTAAATGTTTTGGAAGCCTGACTGAACTACCACTTCAGTACTATGTACCAGCAAGACTTAACCATGGTGTTTCTGTATTTTGGTTATTGACATCTCTACTATAATTTCAGTAATCCTCGACAATTGAGACCAACATTTATGTTGTTAAGCAAGACTTTTGTTAAGTGAATTTTGCCCCATTTTATGACCTTTCTTGCCACAGTTGTTAAGTGAATCATGGCAATTGTTAAGTTAGTTACATGGTTGCTAATTGCATCTGCTTTACCCATTGATTTTGCTTGTCAGAAGGTTTGAAAAGGTGATCACATGATCCCGGGACACTGCAATTGTCATAAATGTGAGTCAGTTGCCAAGTGTCTGAATTTTGATCACATGACCATTGATCACATGACCATGGGGATGCTGCAATGGTCGTAAGTTTGAAAAATAGGCATAAATCACTTTTTTTAGTGATGTAACTTTGAACATTCACTAAATGTTGTAAGTCGAAGACTCTCTGTACTCCTTTCATCTTTGTACGATCTGTCTATTGAAATCCTTTAAGTCACAATTCAAAGTTGGAGCCTCCTTTTCATTAAAACTTTATTTTTCTGTCTGTTTCCACCTTTGATATCTTTACAAAATTTAGTATAATTCTGCTTCTTCACTCTTTCAAAGTCTTTCTGAAATAAATTAAAAAATGAATAATTAAGATTCTTTATGATACCTTTGTTTTTTTTGGCTTTGGCTTCTCTTCTTGGCAACTTCCATCATCTGTTCTAACAACTGACTTTGAATCTTGATATTTGGCAATCTCTTTTCATATTCTTAACACCTTTTTTGCTTTCTTATGGTTCCCTTTCAATGTAATTCAGAACTTCAAAATCATATTATGGACGTTTCTTGGTTTTAATCTTGAACTTGAGCCCGACTTGGAACTTGTACATGAGAAGTTCATGAACTGCTCCATAGTCAGCCTTGACCACGTCTTCATTGTTACAACTGAGGTTTCAATAGTCTTGTGCCAATAATATAGTAAATTGGATTTCTGGGTACTCTACTTAGCAATGCTTAGATAATAGGTGTAATTTTGTTTGGAAACTGTATTTGCAATAAAGAAATTGCCAGATTGGCAAAAGTAACAAATGATTTCTGTTTCTTAGCCATACAGTTCGACCGTGTCTTTACTATTTCCAGTTTTGGCTTTCCAGTCTCCAACCATAAATATAAGGCCAACACAGTACTAGGCTGCATTAACAGAGGGATAGAATCAAGATCACGCGAAGTATAATACCCTCTTCAACCTTGGTAAGGCCACACTTGAAGTACTGCATCAGTTTTGGTGGTCACCACATGTAAAAAGTTTGAGACCTCATAGAAAGAGTAGGCAACAAAGATGATTAGGGGACCGGAGGCTAAAACATATAAGGAACGGTTGCTAGAATTGGGTATGTCTAGTTTAACGAAGAGAAGGACAAGGGGGGACATGATAGCAGTATTCCAATATCTCAGGGGCTGCCATAAAGAAGATGGAATTAAGCTATTTTCCAAAGCACCTGAATGCAGGACAAGAAGCAACGGGTGGAAACTAATCAAGGAGAGAAGCAACCTAGAACTAAGGAGAAACTTCCTGACAGTGAGAACAATTAATCAGTGGAACAGCTTGCCTCCAGAAGCAGTAAATGCTCCAACACTGGAAGTTTTTAAGAAGAGACTGGACAGCCATTTGTCCGAAATGGTGTAGGTTTTCCTGCCCGAGCAGGGGGTTGGACTAGATGACCTCCAAGGTCCCTTCCAACTTTACTATTATTATTATTATTATTATTAACTTTTTTACAATGAAAAGGAGGACACAAATAAATTGAAGAAAAAAATATCGTAAATAAAAGAAACATTTTATTCATTGCAACAATAATACAGAATACACTATAATATGATAAACGCATAATAAAAAAACATTTGTAACAATAACATTTTATATTGTAATTATGCTTACATGCCACGCCCCCACCTGCAGCCACCCCGCCAGCACTGCTGCCCCACCATGTAGAGCGGGCCCCACGGCTCCCAAAGCACCAGCTGTGCCGGCTCCGGCCCCAGGGGGCACCCCGCCATCAACACATCCCGCCTGCAGCCGCCTCTCCAGCACCACCGCCCACCCTGCGCAGCCCCGTGTAGACCAGGCCCCATGGCTTCCACAACACAGGGGGCAGCCGGCCATCGCCGCCCCTACACCCCCACTTGCAGCAGCCCCGTCACCCCTGCCTCTTGCGCCCGCAGCTATTATTGCCCTAGCAGGGCCGAAGATCAAGAGAAAGTTACCGTGGCATCGTCACTCCAGTCTCCTCCAGGTATCTTCGGGACTAACTAGGAGATGGTGTAGTTGGATAGCAGGGAGGAGTGCAAAGTTCCTGCCAATTTGCCTTCACTGCAGACAACTTATATGTGCAAAGTTTGCCGGCTGGGTTTTTTCATATGTGCTCAGCAGCAATTCCTATTGGCTTTTGAAAGCCAATAGGGGGAGTAGCACAGCTCATGCAAAAGTTGAAAAAAAAAACCATCAAAAAAAGGTGCCGGAACACCGTTCTGAGCGTTCTATGAGAAAAAAAAAAAGCCCTGCAGATTAGTCTTCAAATATCAAAAAGGAGGACATGTAGGAGGACACTTTTTGAGGGAGGACAGAACTTACAAAAGGAGGACTGTCCTCCCTAAAGGAGGACGGTTGGTCACCTTAATAAATAACGCATGCTGCTTGCATGTTCCGCTGATTTCAGATTAAACCTGACCATAAAACTCATCCACCTCCTCTTCTTCTGCATCTGTGATTGAGGCATAAACTGGATAACTATGATATTAAATGAGGTCTACTTGATATTATTTGTTCATTGACTACATTGACAAACGTGGTCGTCTCAAGTATGTCTTGCTATGACTTGAATATGTTATTATCAAATAAGTGCTGTAAGAAGAAATTCAAATTTATACAATTTATGTAACTGAAATCCCAAACATGCTTTAATTTAGTTTTGGTAGAAATAATTTAAGGCCATGTCTACATAACAAGACGTGACTCATTTATCCCCTCACAGTCAATTTATTCACCTTAAATGCCAACAACACTCAACATAAGATTACTGGGTTGGTTGGCTGGTGCCCATATTTTTAGTCTCCACAACTACCTCAAGGTATATCTGGAAAAGTATATAGCCCTCCCTACTTCCTCACTTTTTTATTTGCCTCCTGTCCCCTATAAAATAGAGATAGTTCAAACCTTTTGCAATCAATGTCATGGGTGCCTTTAAGGACATATATACTATAGTCAGTTGATAAGGTAACTACGATAGTAGCTTAAGCCTTCCTTCCTTCCTGAAGGAAATGCATATCAGATGTTCATGCAGTAGAAGTAGCTGATTTTTATACTTATGAATCAGGGAACTTTATGTGACCTGGGGAATCAAATGTCCAGACACTGAAAAGGAATCATATTTTAATGTGTGAATGCTAATGTACGGATGGGATTCATATACTAGACTGCAGTTAGATATATGGGAACTGATAACAGAAATGGTATGGTAGTAGCTCTCTATGATAATGACTGAAAACTGGTTACATATATTCCACACATCCCACAGTCATGTCGTCATGACATGTAATTATCTCTAACTCAGTTGGAGGATGCAGATTTTTATCTTTATACAAATTTATATGGACAGCGGGAAGTGGGTTTGCTTGGGGTTTCTAATTGCTTTTGAATTCTCTGCAGTAGCATCTGATTGGCAAGTGAACGTGCAAATACTGAAATGTATTTTACGCTGTTTATATAATTCAGGGAAACTCAGATCTTGAGACTAGGCTGTCAGAATTCTTTGCTGCTATCTAGCGGTTGTCTGGATTTTGCAGACAGATCTCATACAGTAGCAACTGCAAAGTGATTGTAAAATATAGTATTGTATGAC